ATTTGGAAGTTAAGTGAAGCTGAACATCAATAAACATAATTTATTCAAATCATGACCTCATTTGCATAATTTATGAAGAAGTGCTATAATAGCCTTTTTGTTAAAATAAGGCTGTCATTGGGTGGAGATTGAATATGATCAACTGATATAATCCATGCAAATGAGGCTCTTGTTTACAAATCGATGATTAAATTTTATAATTCGTCAACCGCAAGGGTTAACATCATTTGGCGAAGGTATGAGATCGCGGAACTCTTGTTCAACTTATTTTATGCCGCCACCAATACAGGGGACAAATACATGACAGGACAATACACATTTTCACCTCAGCGAAGTGAGGAAAGTCGTGTAAAGGGCACTAGATCGGTGGCATGTCAGGACTAGAACCCGGGACCTCTAAGTTCCAAGTCGCGCACTCTGCCGCTACGCCACACGACCCCACATCCAACATCCAACATTACTGTATTCAAATTAAAGTTGCAATTTATAGGCATTTGGGTGAGCACTACATCCGGGATTCGAACTCATGACGTAGCCTCTATCAGTCTTCGGGAGGAGGCTGGAAAGAGTAGAAGTTGGCCAAAAAGAGAGATAACATGCCAGGGGAGTCGGTCCGCTAGAGGGGTCCTAGAGAGTACAGTTTGCCGTACTGGTTGGTTTAATGCTTAAAATATCTTCAGCACTGAGACCTTGGACCCCGACAGTCTATCTGCGCACCCTACAAGCACAAGGCATCTCCTCTGACGTGGTAAGTCAATTGTTCTCCGAATCAGCTGACAGATATCTCTCTATATATTCAAACAATCTAAGCTCTCCATTTAATAACCAGAAATTAAGCCATGTTCACATTTGTCATACATGATACAATACTAATTATATATTGTACTCAAATCATCAAATGTGATGTCGTATCATGTACTGTATCATGTATGGATTAGTTCTGTTTACTAGTATCTAACGTCTCCCTACTGTACAGGTGTGACCTACTGCATTTACTTGTACCCACTGGCATCACAGCCACCCGTCAATCTCCATTTGTCAAGTTCTGACAGACTATGAACGTCTTCCAGTTCTCACTACAGAACTACAAAGCACAGTACTCAAGGTAGGCACAAAATATACACCATTTATATGTCATTGCTGCCATTCTGCAGTCCTTATTCTACCTATTTTCAGATCTCAACTATCCTCATTGTTTTTCCCAGTTCGCCCTCCCTAAATCTACTCCAAAGAAAACCATTACAACATCACACTCACTCTCTATCTTGCTTTACATCATTTAACATAAAACTTCACATTTTTGTTTATGTAAGAAGTTAAGAACACAACTCTTTAGGTAGTTCTAGGAACTCACTGCCTTTACATATTCCTGCTATCAACCACAAATGTTGTCTTTTCTGCCATGCTCCAACATAGTAACTAACCAGACTTTTACATTTTCAGCATGTCTACACCACCATCAACTCAACTGCCTATTCTCTAATTCATGGAAATGAATTATAAAATCAACTCAGACAAGTCATCAAAGTCTCATGACATTCTGGCATGTTCCAACACATTCTCTGATGGGTTGTAGCCTGGTTACCAAACCTATTATAGCTCCCCAGTCTTACAGCTATCTGCGGAGAGGCTGTAGGACTCTGGAGCTATAATAGGTTTGGTAACCAGGCTAGATGGGTTGTACACTACCAAAACTATTCTCCACTTGGTCCCTCTGGGTTTGCTGCATCCTGTGTGTCTGCATGGCTGGTGTTCAGATATGGTAGGTACATCCGCGCCACGACGTCTGTACACTTGTAGCGACACTGCCGCCCAAAAGGCAGTTCAGACTGTCTCCAAACACCTTCAGGCCTGTCATACACGAAAAGCTCTTGAAATAGCTCTAGCTTGGCCCATTTCGGGGAATCATATTCATAATCGGCTATTGCATGCAGCTTGTTTGCGAGTACAAAGAAAGCTCTATCTTCAAAGAATATAATGCTGCCATTATTCCCTTGGGTCTCCAGAAAGCTTGGGGGTGGATGTTCAGACCAGCTGTCTGCTTCTGTATCATACACCAACATGTTGGAGTGGTCAGGATCCATCCAAAAGATCTCAGGATCCATCCAAAAGATCTCTGTTCCCATGGCAACTGCCATACCGATGTCTAGTTCCACTTTAGGACTGTAGACTGACAGGGCTTTCTTGGACCACCGGTCTTCCCTTGGGTCGTACCAATGCATTTCTGGTACATCTGCCCCTTCTAAGTAATTTAACTTGGTGAAGAGGTAGATGTGCTGATTGCAGGACACTGCAAAGAGGGAGTAAGACTCATCACCAATATCAGGTGTTGAACAGTTTTGCCACTCATTCTTATGCTGGTTGTATTTCTTCAATACCACCTCTGGATCTTCATCAAGGTAAAAAAGATGTCCATCGACTTCCATCAGGTGGTTATTTATATCCCGGTATGGAAGTCTCGGTTTTCCTTTGCACACAGTAGACTTTTGTTCCCACTTGTTCTCAACATGGTTGTATTTACACAGATAGATGCTGTCTGGATCTGTAGCCAAGCCATAGATCTCATTATCACAAGTAACCACACCCCTGTATGGACATACTGGTTGGTCATAGTCACACCTGATGTACTTCCCTTCTCCTGGGTTCATCCACAGCATCTTTTTACCACTGTAAATAAAAGGTAAGATACATTCAATGATCAGGACATACAATGTTGGTTCTAGGATTTAGGAAGATAATGCTGAAGAGAAATTCAAACTTGAAAACAGAGTCAAAGAAGAAGAACAAGTATAATATTATACATACTTCACTTCATGACGCAACAGAACCATTTCTGTGGTCATTGCAAGCCTTGGCTTCTGGTTGGAGCGTACCACATTCCTGATGACCTCAGAACTCCCAGGATCCTCCCTGACCAGGGGATGTTCCAAGATGGCTGCCGTGTCGTCTGAGGTCAGCAGGTTGAAGCGGATGTGAGGGAGGATGCTGGGTAGATGCTGCAGTCTGCAGGGAACAAGGTGAAGCCAGAGTTTTGGGTCATATTTTACATCACTGCAAATAATACTGGCAAATCATTTGACTAAACAACTTCCAAAATCAACATGTGCATGTCATCAGTAGTATGAGGTTTCTTCAGTACTTATTATGTTATTATCAACTAACTTCATCACTAAAAGATACCTGTATTGCTAGAAAAGTAACATTTGCAAAACAAATGCATAATGTTCACCTTCGCATATGGTCTGCTCTGTCGATTCTTATTCAAACACATCAACATATATGGTGTATGTCAACTATGTATCTCTTTTTAATGTAACATTGTGAATATTAATAAAGTTTGAAAAAAAAATATGGTGACAGGAGTCTAAATCCAGTTACCATGGTGAGGGACCGCCTGGTTCAGGTCATTGACCAGGTCAGAGGTCACTGGAGAAGAAGAAGAAACTGAGCAAAAACAATATGTTTTCCCTTGGTGTTGCCCACCTGTCCTCCCTGCTGTGCTGCACCCATCTCACCACAGCCTCCCACACTCTTGTCTCCTCTTTAACCTCCAGCTTATCCTGGCTGATGATCTCAGTCAGCTGATCCACACTCAGGCTGCAGAGCTCCTCACTGCAGGAAACCTGTGGAGGTGTGACATGCTTTAAAATAATTGGCAATTCAAATATATATGTGTCTTCATTAAGTTTTACCAGTAGCTTAGGAGCAGGCTGGATGACCAAGTCTTTAACACACTTTGTGGGGTCTCCAGGGTCATTTGGAAGTTATATATGCTGTAAATAGAATATCCTGGAGAGATCTGTATAGCCGGTATAACCGCCTTTCGGTGTAACCCACCAGTTTCGCAGGCACGCGGCGCGGCGGCAGCTGGCTTCATTACACCGATCGACTTGTTACACCTAACCCTTGAACATCTTACTCTAGACACTGTTTAAAGCTATCTAATAATGACAATGAGATGTCTCTAGGAGCAGTGTCATGCACGAAAATTTATTTTATAAAAGTCCCTCAGATCACAATGTAATTGAAGACCGACCTCCACAAAATGCTGACATATATACTCCAGACAAGACTTCAGAACAACTTCCACTGTGAAAACATCAGCAAACTTGTACAGGTCCACACAGGTCGAGCCCTCCACGTTCATGGCCATGTAGCTGCTGCAGGTGTCTCTCACATAGTCCATCTGTAGGAGGTCGGCTGCCTGGTACAGGGGCTGCACTCTGTCAAGAGACACGTGGAGGGTTCCCGAGTAGATGTAACTCAGGATCTCCTCAAACATGTCTGCATCCAAACCCTGTAGCATCAAAGCAAACAATAAAA